TTTTGTTTTGTTTTGTTTTGTTTTGTTTTGTTTTGTTTTGTTTTGTTTTGTTTATAACCAGCCAAGAAGTAACCATTCATCCCAAAGAGATCTCTCTTAGCTTAAATGCTACTTCCAAAGAGTCTAAATATATCTAATCTAGATAGGATGTCACTTTTATTCTCTCGCATTTGAATCCTGGTATTCTCCTTAATTAACGCTTATCTCAATTTACTATTACATATTCACTTATGTTTAATTTCTAGTGCCTTCTCTTCCATTGTAAGCTTCATGATAGCAGGGACTGTGTCTGCTTTGTGCCAAGCATGGTTCAGTGGACAGATCATGGGGAAAGCAAATATTTGAACAAATGAAAGGATCAGGAATGAATGAGTGGATACCACAACTAATGCCCTATAAGACTCCACAGAGTTGGGAAGCCTCATGCCATATGACAATTTTCCAGAACTACTCCTCAGGATATCCAACTCTGTTGGAGACAGTACCAACATAATAAAGACCTTAGAGGCCATCCAGTCCCACCCCTGCTTTACTTCACAGATGAGAAAGCCAAGGTCCAGAGAGAAGAAAGGAGTCAATCCATATTTAAACTAACAACACACCATTTCTGCTTAATAGTCCAAAAAGAGTTTAGGGCCCTTATTAATTTCTTCATGGTAACTAAATAATAAAACTATTCCCCTAATATACCCAGGGGTTTTCCAGTCTATTCTCTGGGATTTTTTGGTAAAAATATAAGTTTCCTAGAGTTTTGGCAAAGTAGGAAGGCACTGGCTTAGATCAGGTGCACAGAGAAACTCCTGTTCTACCCCCACCTTGGTACATGGTTATGTAGTTAGACACTGAGAATTCTAACTTCATCCACTTTTTTGTGATTGTCCAAAAAAGAAAAAAACATTTTAGAGTTTAGCTTTTACTAAAACATTACCTTTACTAAAAGTGAAAATACAGTTACAGAATTATTAGGGATCTCAACCATCCACTAAATCTTTAAAAAATATGTTATAACACAATTTTGAAAATTCACCAAAATAGACATGGAAATCATAAACAAGAAAATAAACAAACTATGATGATCAAATTTAAGGTGAAATAAAAAATATCGTTAAAATCATAAACTGATGTTCTGTGAGCAAGAACACAATACCAGAATAACTGAAAGAATGATTTCAAAACTCTTCTCCATTTTCTCTGCATGGAGTCTGAAGTTCTGTCCTCTGAAGTTACTATGTGTTAAAGCATTAGCTACAGCAGTGTTAAATAAATACATAACCTGGAAAAAATAGCACATGACGCCATTCATGCTGATAAACAGGTGAACCCCCAAATTGTTTTACCAGATTAGGCACTGGGCACTACGGAAAACCGCAAGAATAAGACCCTTACTTAATGGTCCTGAGCTGGTAAACTTCAAACTAAAAAAGCAAAGAATGGGGTTTGCTATAGCCTGAATGTTTGTGTCCCCCCCAAAATTCATAAACTGAAATCCTCACCCCCAAGATAATGGTATTAGGAGGTAGAGCGTTTTGAAGGTGATGAAGTCATGAGGGTGGAGACCTTATGAATGGTACTGGTGCCTTTATAAAGGCCGCAGAGAGATCCTTAGAACTTTCCACCACATGAGGTTACATCAGGCTCTCATCAGACACTGAATTGGCCAGCTCCTTGAGCTTGGATTTCCCAGCCGTGAGAACTGTAAGAAATGAACTTATTCTTTATAAGCCACCCAGTCTATTGTATTTTGTTACACCAGCCTGAAGGGACTAAAACAGGGTTAATAAACTAAAGCCAGCAGCACAGTGGGGGTCCCTACCCGCAGAAGGGGAGAGAAGAACGGGACACTATTAGGGTTGCCAGATTTAACAAGCGGTAACAATGATAATGTAGATGCCAAATTGAATTTAAATTTCAGATAAACAACAAATATTTGCAGTCTAAATATGGTCCATGCAATATTTGGGAACTATTAATACTAAAAAAAGGTTTTGATGAGACAAAATATCAATTAACTAGCATTCTGTATTTTATCTGGCAACCTAGACACTAATGAAAAGGAAAATAACCTCACAAGTCATATGACTTTAGTTCATATCCCAGCTCCACTAATGATTTTGTGTAAGCTCTTTACATTCTCTGAGAATCACTTGAAACCTGAAAAAGTTGTTACAATCCCAAATTAAATAATAGCAAAATACCAATGTATCAGTATAACCGTTTATCCACTTACCCTCCTGTACTTCATCATTCTGTCTGAGGATGGCTTGGACTTGGAAGACATTTTTTATGTAGGTTACTAATTTTACTCCCAACTTCTCTCTTTGAATCCAAACAGTACATAAGGTGCTTAAAACCTTGGCCTGTAATAGAACTACTAATATTTTAATCCAAACCAAAACAGTATGACTTGGGAGAAATGTTTATAGCAATTTGATAGCCAGTATTAATAAATCCCTCACCCTCAGAAATGGGTGGTTTTTCCAAAGAAGGATTGGACTCTGTGGCCAATAAACTAAATTGAAAAATCTCCAACCAACTGTAATAAACACAGAATTGAAAGCTAATAAAACACCACAGGGCATTTCAAGGTAACTCAGCAGGGGAGAGCTCACCAATATTAGATGTGTTTACAGATGGTGACTAAAGATATAATAATTAATCTGCTTTTGAACTAATGAACAAATCACATGCTTCCTTAAAATACAAAGCACAAAGCTCTTAGCTGCTAATTAAGTTCAGGAGTGGAATAAACACTTGATTTGCAGTAAAGGATAAGGCTCATAAACAGTAATATACAGCTATCCAAGTCTTGCCTTTCTGACTCAGAAAAACAAGTGCCCTATTCAGGGTATAAAAATTGACATGGCACTATCATTCACCTGCGGTTTTCAAGTCTTAACAAGATCCAAGATCATTTATTATTTGACATACAGTGCTTCCTTAAGGATCTTTTACAAAGGAATTACTCCAAATTGGTTATAACAATGCTAAATGTAGTATTTTACAATGTTGATAAAAATATTTAAAGCTTGTACAAGTTCAGCCATGGAAACAGAATGCATCACACTAGCAATCCAATAGATCAGTTATTCTCTATCCCCTTCATAAGTGTTCAGTGCAGCTGACAACTTGAATAATTAAGAATTCCTCGTGTAGAATTAAATGGAATAAGATTCAGGCTCACAGATGAAAGAGGGAAGAGGATGGATGGGTAGGCAGAAAGAAAAACAGATGATAGACCAGGGGTCGACAAACTACAGCCCAATGGCCAAGTCTGGCCCCTCAGCCTGTTTACAGTGGGTTTACAGCCCACAAGGTAAGGGTGGGGTTTACATATTTTAATGGTTGAAAAAAAAATCAAAAGAAGAAAAATATTTCATGACACATGAAAATTATATGAAAGTGGATGAAACATGAAGAAGTGGTCCATAAATAAAGAGTCACTGGGACACAGCCACACCCATTTGTTTACCTATTGTCTATGGTGCTTTTGTGCAACAACAGCAGAGTGGAGTACCTAAAACAGAGGCCATGTGGCCCACAAAGACTGAAATATTCACTTTGTTCTCCTTTTCAGGATGTTATCTGTATGCCAGCTCCTGAGGCAGACAGATAAGTAGATAGATAATACAAACTACAAGCCTCTATCATCTACCCATCCCAGTAGGTTGCACTAGAATTCTAAAGCATAGTAGTTACAAGCACCGAACTACTTTAGAATGTAATTTATCATCACTTAGAAAATAAAACATAACTATCACGAGCCAGGACTCATCTTGTTGCTACATTTGATTATATGTATGTTTTTCCTTAGAAAATGGACTTTCATGAAAGGCCCAGAAACTCAGGCTGTATGTAGCAGGACTTCCGCTATTCTCTCAGCAGAGGATTTTCTGCCTTCTCCCTCCCTTTCCCTCGTGGTCTACTATCTCTGATGCTGCCTGCACACACAGCCCCTTTCCCTTCTCCAGTCTCTGATTCTCACCCACATGGCAGCCGGGCTGGGGCAGTGTCCCTGGGGCAGGAATGGCTATGGCCATCGCAAAGGGGAGAAGAAGGGAGGGAACCCTCATTCCTCAGTGCCCCTACAGCTGTTCTCAGTCACAGGTCAATTTCTTCCAACATACTCTTCTCCTTCTTTCTCACCAAATCTGGTATCTCATGGAAATGTAAGTAGATCTTAATTCAGTATTTTGAATTCACGGAAGCCCTATCATTCTTTTTGTGCACTTTCAAATTTCTCTACAGGTCTAAGAGAAATGAAAGAAGAGGGTGAAGAAGCCCCCTCCACACCACCATCTATTTCCTCTGTTGCTAACAGTTAAAAAGCGAACAACAACAACAACAAAACAACAACAACAACAACAACAACAAAAACTTAGAAAACATCAATCAAGTTATCTGTTGCTTTTGGGGCAGAAGTATAAGAAAAATGCTCTGACACTGTGTCTTGTATTAGAATGGATAATGGAAAGACAGAAACCCTGTCAGGAACAACAGCTAGAGGCTGGACAAATGGAATGGATCAGATCAATTTCCTGTATTCTCAGAAGAAAAAGAAAATAACAGAAGTGATATGAAGTGGCCAAGGCCAAGAAACTCCCCCCAAAGTTTACACCATGAAACAGCCTTACGTGACTACACCATCTCTACCCCATCCCACAGAGCTTTACCAAGATGACAGCTTATCACATGGAATCACTTAGAAATGTAAGAGCTGGGAAGGACTGTTCAAGGTTCGTTTTATATTTTCTGTGTCAAAAATACTGCTTGTAACAAAGTAGATGCTCAATAAACATTTTTGAATGAATAAACTGAGGAATAAATGAATCTATCTTACTCCCTTATTTTACAGAAACTGGAGTATTTCAAGATCACATAGCTCACTGGAGAAAGCTAAAACAAAAACTCAATTTATAAGCTCTCCCTTGCCCAAGGCCATTGTTCCCTAGTGGCGGGGAGCGTGGAGGACATGGATGACATTCACCCAACAGACCTTCTTTGTCTACCCATCTCCAGATGAGCTTGGTATTGTGCTCAGAGAAAGTGTGCAACTGCCCCGCCTCCCAGAAGATAATTCATCTGAAGCTTAGAGTCTAAGCCAGTGCTACCAGTCTGATTTTGGTGGCCAGTGACTGGTTTAGGAGCAGACTCTGACTCAGAACTTTGGCCAATGGAGAAAGGGACATCTGCTCGGGAGAAGGCCTTCTGGGAGATATTTTCCTATATATTATGATTAAAAGTCCACTCCTCATTCTTTGACCTTTCAGAGTTTGTTATTCAAGGACAAGATTCTTGTGGCTTCTAGGGACATCTCATCACCATGAGGCTATAAAGATTTCAAAGAACCTAACCTAACCCAGAGCCTTGGCTTCACTGAGCTACTGAATTAACCAAAGCCAAACCACTCATTCCAGAGTTTTTAAGCGAGAGGATAAACCATACTATTATTCAAATTGAGTAGTCTCTTGCTTGCAGCCAAAACATGTTGAATCATGTATCCATTCTTGGAAGATGCTCCATTCCCTGCCTTGGCCTTTATCCTAAAGAGTCTTCACCTAAGTTCATGGGAACCTTAGGCAACATTGTAAGGGAAAAAATAAAAAGCTAATTCTCATTGCCAAGATAGCAGGAGGGCTTCAAGTGCCCACCTCTACCCCCAGTGAAGCACTGGTCTATGCCAAGCCAAACTTCAAGCGCATTTTCCCAGTAGAAATATATGTTGTGTGGGCCCCATGACGATTATAGAGCAGAAATTGTACTATATGGTTTAAATAGGTTTTTGTAGGTTGGCCTGGAAACGTAACATTGTTTCTATGGAAAATGTTTCAAACTCCAAACTCTGTTCCAAATGAACTTTTGAATGCAACCTGTTTTAAATTGGGGGGTTGTATATTTATTTATAATTAAAATACACAAGGATGGAAATGAGCTTTCAGGTGCAAAAATCACATTTGGACTTCTCGCTTTAAATTAATCAGTGTCCCTTTGCCATTTTGGATGAAATAACTTTGAATAAAAGGGAGTAGTAATATCTTGCAGTACCAAATAAACATTAAAAATCAGAATTCAGATAACCTACCATATCTTAAAATTTGCTATTGGAGGAGGGGTTACTTTACAAATTAAATAGTGCCCATCGTGCCAAAATCTGTCATTGTAAGCAATGTCTTTAGGGCCATTGGGAAATGTTTCAAGCAGTAATTTGAATGAATGTATGAAAATATTACACCAAAATAAATTTAAAACCCAAAATAGAAAAACCTTTGTATTTAAGGATTAATCCAAACCCTTGGAGTTTTGTGTTCAAGTCAGCCAACAACTATAATTTGGTTCCCACCCCCCAACCCACACCTGCCAAAAAAAATCTCCATTTCTTGGTCCGGATACTAAAGATAGATCGGGGTATAGCAGAAAAGGTACTTCCTAGATATTGTAACTTTTTCTATTTCCTCTACAATAGAATGAAAAAAATACCATCTAGGTCCCAGACCTGTTGTGACATTTACATGATATAGCATCCCCCAGTGCTGTACTTGAAATCTAGTAAGTACTCAGTAACTGTCAGTTTCATTACTTTGTCTCCTCTTCTTTCTTACAAGAATACTGCCCTCATCTAACATATCTAAATTCTCACCAACCTACACACATAACTGACAACCAGAGTTTATTCTTCTGGTAAATATGCATATGGTCTCTAAAGAAAATCAAGTCTAGCATAATCTTTCAACTCTATGTGAAAATGAATTAACATTTTTCTCTGTCTGGTATAAAATATTACAATTGAATGCTACAGGGACTTTTCATTACTGCATTTTCTGAAACTTATATTTAAATTCTGCTGAAACCATAGATCTGGATGTAAGCTTCTGGGATTGGCATGTTGAAGAAATACAAAGGTAGTATAAAAGGGTAAAAAAGAAATGAACAATTACAATTCAAATCAAGGTTTGGTATGATACAGAGAATTTTACCTTCGCCTCAAGATCTCCTCATCTTTTCCTTGTGAACTATTAAGTTTCAGAGTTTCCAAAATTATTCTTTTATAATACAGCAACCATTTTTTACTTAAAAGTAAACTGTAATAATTAGTGAATGCCAGTTAAAATAATGATGTCTATAGCTAACATAAGACAGTAAAGATTAAACCTCAGTGTTCTTAATGCTTTGAAATTAATGTTGAAAGCAGGAATACATTCTTTTGGTTAACTTGACTGCCACACTGAGCATATCTCTGTGTATTGCTCTCTTAAAATGTTCAATTTTTTGGATGCTGCTTAGAAGCCATCTGTGTTCAACTCCTCTACCGTTAATTTGGAAGTGTTATTTGCATGTTGTTATGGTACTCATGTTACCTTGGTTCCATGACCTGTCCTTTCTCTGCTTACTAAATCTACCAAATAGAATGAGCACCAGGTAAATCAAAGAGTTGCCTTTGTTCTATGTGATTATCATACAAAGCAATTGAAGCTGCTGTCCCAAGGCTCCACAATAAAACTCAACTCCACGCAGGTAAGCAGAAGCCTATCCAGCATGGCTATCTATATTTTCCAAAGCACCAGTCCCAAAATACACTGTTTCAAAGCAATTTAATATTTTGGTGAAAAAAAGAATGGGTATCACAGAGGGAATGAGTCTTGTCAATTTTCCTAAGCCATACTTCCCACTCACAAAAATGTAAGTTTTCAAATAAAATAATTCAAATTAATTTCCCACCTCTTATACTCCAATAACCCCTATCTGTCGTGCTTTATCTCAAAATTAAAATTTATCAGTGACTAAAGAAGCAAATAAAACAGTTTCCTCTTGAAGCTCTCTACACTTCCCTCCCCAAAGTACAATTTGGTCTTCCTCACATCTCTGTATCTTCTGTTATGCTCTAAGTGCAAAATGCCCCAAAACTACCTTACTGCCAGCATGCAAACTCTCACCCTCAAGTTTCCACAAAGAGTATTCGATTCCTCAACAAGCAGCAAACTCTACAAATCACCATCACGCCCAAGAGAAGAGCAAATCAAATTGCTCTTGAAAGATACAAAGAGAAGAAAAACTAAAAGCTCTCATTCTTAATCTAAAAACAATGCATATGTATGAGCAACACTAAACTCTAAATATACATTTGTATTTCACCCACACTGCTTATGACTACAGATTTTTGCCAAAAATATTACATTTAAGTATAATACCTCAAGTTTTTGAAAATCTCCAAACACCCTATCTTTCCTCCTCACTGCCTACCTCCAACCCAAATATATTACTACAAACTTCTGGGTGAAGGACAGAAAATCTCACACTAAACATGAAAAACTGAGGTGAAGGATGTTTCCCAATGTAGGGGGAGAAAAGGTTTGGGTTTAGAACCATCTCTTAGTTTAAAAGGAATAGGCTTTAGAGGCTGAGATGGGAATGTCGGCTCTGTCTCTATATGAACTGTTTAACACTGAGAAACTGACTTAACCTTTCTGGGCCTCAGGCGTAAGATGGTCTTAATACCTTCTATGATCACCGTGTATACAAAGTATAAATAAGCAACAGGCTATACAGCACAGTTTCTCAGCCTCAGCACTACTAGCATCTTAAGCCCCATAACTGTGTTGTGGGGTCTGTCCTGTACATTGTAGGATGTTTAGCAGCATCCCTGGCTTCTACCCACTAGATGCCAGTAGCACTCCTCCCTTCTCTTGATAACCTACAATGTCTCCTGACATTGCCAAAAGTACTTTAGAGGCAAAACCTTCCCCTGTGGTATATCGCTGAACTACCTGGCTGATAATAAATGCTTACACTGTAATGGTAATAGTCATCATTATCATTATCCATTAAATACTAGTGTCCAGATAAACATTGTAGTACCATTGACATGTTACTAAAGAAAATGTTCTTTGGTGGCAAATATGGGCAGCATGGCGACGCCATAGTCAACATCCAGCAGTATGATCACCACCTGATGACATGTACTCTCAACAAGACACCTATGGTCTTTTACAGGTAGTAAAGAAATTTGGGGGAAGTTACAGGGAATATAAAATACCCACAGTTTTTGGGCACCTAGGTGGCTCAGTCAGTTGAGCATCCGACTCTTGATTCTGGCTCAGGTCATGATCCCATAGTCATGGGACTGAGCCCTGCATGGAGCTCCATGCTGTGTAGAGTCTGCTTGAGATTCTCTGTCTCTCTCTCTCTCTCCCTTTCCACTCTCCCCTGCCTTCTCTCTCTCCCTCTCTCTCTCTCTCTCTCTCTCTCAAATTAAAACACACACACACACACACACACACACACACACACACACACACACAAACACACACACACAGCTAAAAAAAATTATTGCCACAAAGCACTACTTTTCAGTCCTAATGTTAATTTGTAGCAGAGCGGTGACCAAAATACTGACACACTTACTCCTAGTTCAACAGATATTTCATCTCACCATGACAAGTATTTAGGAAAAATCCAAATTAGACAGTCAGACTTTCCAGTGTCTATTCACTGTCCAAGTGCATTTTCCCACTAATTCCTTTTGGTAAACTAGCTAAGTTGCTCCAACTTTCTTCCTGTTTCCTTCACTATATTACCCAGCTCTTCAGGAGACTGACAGCTCTCTAGGGTCTAGAAGACAGAAGACAGATTTAACCAAGGCAAGTTTGGTCAGCAAGAAACTGATAGCTTCAGTCTCTCTAGTATGCCATCACAAACATTTTCTATGGCAAACATCCGCAGCTAGGATAGAACAGATAGCCTTTCATATTTCACTTAACCAATGTACATTGCTTGGTCAGATCAGTTTTGCCTCGAAGACCTACTCAAACACTACTGCTTGATGTATTTCTAAGAATTTTTACTATTAGAAGCATGGGACACAGTGTCTATGCCTTCTAAGGAAAAGGCATGGAATGACTACTGATGCACTCCGATTTCAAATATAACAACTTTTCTATTACAGGGTTGTAACCTAGCATTTACTAGAAGGTCCCTGTTAGGGGCAGATTGTAAGGTTTGCTACCATGTTCTTGAGCAGAGGATCAGCAACAAAAAATTATAGCAAGAAACATCAGTTTTTGCTGGTCCTAAATATGGTAAGGAAGGATGAATGAGTTTAACTCTAGAGTAGCTTTAGACAAAATATTCTGGAAGAAAAAAAGTTCATCTTTGGTATCCCCATGCGGACCCACCTGTGGTTTTTATGGTATGTATGCCCCCTCCCCCAGCCTAAGACACTCTATTCAGAGCACCATTTTTCAGATGCCAGATTTCCCTTATGTACT